CTCGGCCCCCGCAGGTGCAGCACGCCAGCAAGCAGATCGCCGCCGACAAGCAGTACAAGGGCATCATCGACTGCGTGGTGCGCATCCCCCGGGAGCAGGGCGTCCTCTCCTTCTGGCGCGGCAACCTGGCCAATGTGATCCGGTACTTCCCCACCCAGGCCCTCAACTTTGCCTTCAAGGATAAGTACAAGCAGATCTTCCTGGGCGGCGTGGACAAGCGGACCCAGTTCTGGCGGTACTTCGCCGGTAACCTGGCGTCCGGGGGTGCCGCCGGCGCTACCTCCTTGTGCTTCGTCTACCCCCTTGACTTTGCCCGAACCCGCCTGGCAGCGGATGTGGGTAAAGCTGGGGCTGACCGCGAGTTCACTGGGCTCGGTGACTGCCTGGTCAAAATCTTCCGGTCAGACGGCCTCAGGGGCCTGTACCAGGGCTTCAGTGTCTCTGTCCAGGGCATCATCATCTACAGAGCCGCCTACTTTGGCATCTACGACACCGCGAAGGGTAGGTTGGCCAAAATGGAGCTAAAAGGGAGATGCTGGGCCCGCAGCAGGGCTGCGGTGTGTTTTGGCAGATGCTGGTGGATCTCCTGCCATTCTCATTGAAACCTCTTTCCCGCAGGCATGCTTCCAGACCCAAAGAACACCCACATTGTTGTCAGCTGGATGATTGCTCAGACCGTCACCGCTGTCGCTGGTTTGACCTCCTACCCTTTTGATACGGTTCGTCGTCGCATGATGATGCAGTCTGGCCGTAAAGGAAGTAAGTTTCTACCTCCTTGTGTAGGAAGTGTTGGGCATCCCTAAGCCAACAGTTGGTGGTGGAGCTGAGGTGAAGGCAGAGTGGCTTGGCTTTCACCAAGCCATGTAGATACCCTCACCTCTTGTGAACAGCAGGGTGTGAGAGGGGCTGCAGAAGCGGATGTCAGGTGGGGGGCACAGGCGGGTCAGTCTCCACAGCACGCCTGTAAGGTTGGGTGTGCAAGTCAGATGTCTGTCTGTAGGTAGGAACAGCAGAACTTGCCCAAGGACGTTGCAAACTATTGTCTCTGGGCCAAGAAGAGACATCCCTGGTAGCAGGCAAGGCCTGGCTGACTGTGCAATAGCTTTTGGGTCTGGAAGTGCTGGTGTCAAAGCAAACAGTAGGTGCCTTCTGCTCAAACCGGTCCTTCCAGTGTCTCCTAGGGGTAATGCAGCAGCAGCGTATCTCTTGGGCGGTCTTGCCCTCTGATGTGCTAATACTGGAGAAAGTCAGTCAAGAAATGGGATGCACTTGAGGTTATGAGGCTGGCAGATATGTTAGGCCATTTCTGACCTGGATGTTGGGGGTCACGGGCATCCAATTTCTAACGCCGTCTGTCTCCTGCAGCTGACATAATGTACACCGGCACTATTGACTGCTGGCGGAAGATTGCCCGGGACGAGGGCTCCAAGGCGTTTTTCAAAGGTGCATGGTCGAATGTACTCCGAGGAATGGGTGGTGCTTTTGTCTTAGTCCTGTATGATGAAATCAAGAAGTACACATAAGTTGTTTCCTGTTGTGAACTGGCATGTTGTTGTATGTAGTCTGTGACCACTCATGGACTTGTTTGAAAACCGTCTAGTTACTACACGGCTGATGTTTATACAGGTTGGCATGGGGCAGGGGCGACTGCCTGCCCTGCCTTTATCAAGTTATTCCCCCTGACGGGACTCGCCATGGTTTCTACTTCAGTCACTCCTGCTTAAAGAGGACAAAGAAATAAAAATCTGAAACCAACTTTCTTCATCTCATGTTTGTTCTTGCTGCGGCATGAGGGGGGTGGGGGTCTCTGCAGTGACTGTGCAGAAGGGGGAAGATGAACCACCTCCATCCTGCACAACTGGCTACCTGTGGCCTCCAGCAGGTATATGGTGTGCAGGCTGCCAAGGAAGCTGGAAGTGTTTCCTCCCCAGTGGAGGCCAGTGGCGTGAGCTGGAATGGGAACCGGCAGCTCTGAAGGATTCGTCCAGCTGATCTCCCTGAGACCCCGGTAACCAGAGATGATCCACCGGCTGTGTGCCACCAGTCCTGGCTCAGGCCTGTCTGCTCCCCGGAGCTGATGAAACCTTGTTTTGAAAGTGCCAAGTGCCCAAACCTGTAAAGCACGGCCTCCTCCATGGCGCTGAATGCTTGGGAGGCTGGAGAAGTGTCTAAGGGAGAAATGTCTTGCTGCTGTTCAGAGGAGCAGAGCCGGCATTGTGTACTCTGGCTTAGAAACTGAGCTACCCACTTGGGCATGTTAAAACCCAGCCAGAGAACATGAGTGCAGGTAATTGCTGCACTTCTGTAGAGCCCCTGGCTAGCCTTGCCCTCACATGAGGTGGTATGCTGTGGGGATGCAGTAGCTGAGTAGAGACGGGCAGCTCCTGTGCCAGGTCTGTGCGTGCCAGGCAGGGAGCTGCATCCCCAGGCTCATCCCTTACCCCTGGAAGTTAAGCTTGTCCCAGCCCCAGATTCTGGGGGAAGGGGGAAATTCCTTCACGCTGCTGGGGCAATTCAGGGAAAACATTGCAAGACTGGGCAATGCGTGTGGCTTGGCCTTTACCCAGACATCTCCGTGGGTCTGTGAGCTGCCCCAGTGAAGCTGCCTGGTTTCTGCCTGGGGAGCCGGGGTGGCGGCTGGTTGCTCTCTAGGTCCTCTGCCCTTCAGATCAGCAAGTCTTTCCTCGCTGCCCCCACACCTTGGGTCCTTTCTGGCTGCCCAGGCCTGCTCAAAGCAGTTGATCTCAATCACTGAAACCAATCTCAACCACTGTCTAAGGCAGAGAAGCAAGCCCTTGTGTTGCAAAGAGGGGTAGTTGGTTTTATTGCTGAAATCTTAAGTGGAGCAGCTGGGCGTGAGAGCACAGCACCCTCCTGCCGCAGACAGCATCGTGTGCTTGGGTCGCTGCAAGTGGGTGTTTGTGATGGGAGATGGTCTCATGCTGCGCTGTTGAGCCACAGAGCCTTTGCTGGTGCTTTTCAACTGCCCCTAGGCTCCTGCGATATGAGATCCCTCGCTGCCTGCTATGGAAACAAAATGGGCTGAAATTTTTCCCATGAGACACAATGCCACAAGCAGTGGACAGCATGCTGGGGGGAGCAGGCAGCAGCCTGGCAGGGGGCTGTGCCATGGGGCCCCCTTACCAGGGAGCCTTCTCCCACTGCACAAATGCAAGCTAATTAATGCAGGGCTCTCAGCTCTTATTGCCTCCTGCTGCTAAGCTCTCCTGGATTTCAAGAGCGGTCCTGAAATGCTGTTGGTTGCTGAACGTGGGGTATCCTTCCCTCTCTCCGCAGGGGATGCTTGGCCAGGCTGTTAGCACATGGAGGTAAGTGCATCATTTCCTCCTCCACACAGTGGTGGGTGACCAAGGCGCTGTGCCCGGCTATGAAGGAGCTGATCTGGGGGACCCCTAAGTCCTTAGACATAACAGCATTTCATATTGGGCTGGGGGTGCAGGACTGGCACCAACTGAAACGGGTTGTAGCTGCCCACGCTAGTTACTGCCTTTGGGACTCAGGAAAGAAGCATGTGTTGCACAGCTTTTTGTAGCTCCGGTGCATGGGAGATACGGAGCAGAGCCCACAACGGGTTTTCCCTGTGCTCCACTGATGGGGGACATGGGCCAGCAGCCCCTTTTGGCCTGGGGATTTAACCTCCCCCTCCTGGCAGCTCCCCTAGGAGCAGCTGTATCCAGGGAAGCAGGTTGGGGGGTTCAGCTGCTGCTTTTGCCTGCCACAGGAGCATGTTAGGGATTATGGGCTTTGTTCTTGCAGGGAAACTGAGGCACCGGAAGGGGACTGGGGCCAGCCAGTGGCAAGGCAGTGAGCTGGGTGCAGTCCCTCTGACATGAATGGTTTTTCCACCAGGCTGTGCTGCTCCAAGGATGGCAGAGGCAGCGGTGGATTTTCCTTTTAAACACAATTCTCTTGCGGGGAATACTGAACATCTCGTACACCATGATTTCATAGAATAGAACCATAGAATCCTTTAGGTTGGAAAAGACCTTTAAGTTCATCAAGTCCAACCATTAACCCTGCCATCCCACCACTAAACCATGTCCCTAAGGACCAAGTCTACCTGTCTTTTAAATACCTCCAGGGATGGGGACTCAACCACCTCCCTGGGCAGCCCGTTCCAATGCTTGACAACCCTTTCATTGAAAAA